TACCATAATGACAATTTATCCCAATAATTTAAGTATTTAAAGTAGTCATTTATTGTTTCATCTATCTTATAAAATATAAATTTCTCTAAATATTGTTTAAGTCTTTGTAACTAAAAATTAAAAAATTTTAAAACTTTTTAAGTATACTTGGTGTGAGATTATTGTCATACTTTATTTTAATAATATAATACCGAAAAATATAAATGGGCATATTTGCTCATGATTTTAAAAATAGTATTTTTCTCTTTCCAAAACTATCCCATTTTACTTCTTTTAACCTTTACCGTTGTAGCCCTCTTTCTATTCCATACTTTTCTCTCTCCAAAAATAAATTTGACTTTATTTTTCTTTTTCTTTGGAATAATCAAGTTAGTTTGACATAAAAAGTACAAAAAATACAAATTTTGAATCAAATCATTCTTAATCACAATTAGTAATGAAAATAATAAAAGAGTCATTTTTTCTATTGAATAATCAAGTCATTTTTCTTTAGATTTCTTTATGGTTGTTGTATATCCAATTCTTAAATAAAATATTTTCTTGTTTTGAAGGAGATCATCATAAGTTTCAAATGATTTCCTAAACAATTAAGACATTTTATTTTTTTCTGAATTGTCTAGCGCTTTAATGATTTGTATTTATCTCTTGAGATTACATATTAAATAAATGTAATAATTAATTTGCAATGTAATATAATAACTTTAACAGCAAAAATAAAAATCCAATCATATATATATATATATTAAAAAACTCATAAAAACATAAAAATTTAGCAATGCATATAAAAAGAAAAGAAGAAGAAGAAGAAAAACAGAAGAGGATGGCCATGAATTAACCCAAGGAGGATGGCTTACCACAAATTAAGACAAGATAGCTTTGAAAACAAACGAACAGGAGAGGAGGCTATGTGCGGCAATTAAAAGATGAAATAGAAATAGGGCTACAACGGCAAGGGTTAAGACTTAAGAGAAGTAAAAGGGGCAGTTTTGAAAAGGAAAAAATATTATTATTTAAATTATGAATAAATATGTCAATTCATAATTTTAGGTGTGATATATTATCAAAATAAGATATGATAATAACCCCACTAAATGTATAAAAGATTTTTCTAAACTAGCTACACCATCTTTTAATTGTTTCGTTGAAAAAATCATCACCACTAAGAATTTTCAAGACTCTTGTTTTGGAAAATGACTAACACAACGAAAAGTCTAACCCATAAATATAGAGAGTGACTCCACAGGAATTAGCTAGGCAGCAATAATTGCAATTGTGTTCCTCACCCTCCTTGTCGATAGCTACAGGAAATCAATTGCCAGAACCGTTGAGAGAAACTGAATGCTGCCTTTCAAAATTTTATAACCTTAAGAAATTGGACAAATCATTTGTGATGGGGTGAAAAACTGTAGATATGGTCATCATCATCGTTAACATTTTAAAAAAAAACTTTAAGTTACGAAGACTTAAACAATATTTATAAAAATTTATATTTTACAAGATAGATTACATAATAAATGTCTACTTTATGTCCTAAAATTATTGGGATAGATCGTTATTATGGTAGCAGGTCCAACAAGATCATTGTAATTGATCATGACATGGCTTCTGACTTTTTTTTATCTTTATGGTTAAATTGAAAGTTCTTATTAACTTCTTATAAAATTAAGAATTCAGATTGCCACAAAGTCACAAACCCCACCCTTTTTTTTCATTAAAAAAAAAACCCAACCCCACCCTTTCTAATTCAGTAGGGTTCCCATATACGCTATCAAAATAGAAGAAATTAGGTATGGGCGTCCTCGCCTCACCTCCACATCATCAATCCGCTAACTTTCCGGCCCATGGGTGACCTGGTCAGACTGGGACTTCAATTTTATCTTCTCATTTTCATTTCATGTTGCAGAAAACCTTTCGTCTCTACAATT